ATGCGCTAGACCTGTAGATAGGCCGTTGCCTTCCAAGTGTCCTCGTGACTCGGTCCAGAACTCCCGCTTGATAGCCTTGGCGTCGTCGCCTGGCGTTCCATGTTCGTCGTAGTCGAGTGCTGCGTCGAAGAAGGCCTTGAAACGCGCGTGCTCTGCTGCTGACAGACGCTTGGACATGGCGAAAGAGAGGCTGTTGTCGTCGAGAAATGCTCGCTGCTGGGATAGTTGGAAACTGACGGATAAGTTTCTCTCGAAAGGTTAGTGGCTGACGGAAGGGACACGTCGGAGAAAAAGACGTTAGCGACTGGGTGTAGAAATGGAACGACGTGAGAGATAACGATTTGGGTGACTCGTGACGACAGTTGGGACGAGGATGCTAACGGACAACACTGGCTGGATCTCTCAGTCTTAAGCGGCGTCATTTGAGAATGGCGGAAGTGCTGAAGAAGTGGTTTCACTGGAAGGATGTGGTGTGGTCGACTGTTAAGCTCCCCGAGATGGAGACTGGAGCGATGTTGGGCTGTGCTGTGGCTGGTATCGCGGTGTGGGTTGTCACGACTCCTTTACGGAACGTGGGATGGGCATTAGGTGCTAGTGCGCTGGATTGCGGTACTACTATCTGTTTCTTTTGGTACACTTGTAGTGACAGATTTGTCACTACGGTGCGTGGCGCGAACGCGAAGGCACTGCCTCCCAGGGAATACGCGTGTATTTTGGTCACGTTGTTGTTCCTCGTTCCTATGGCGGTACTCCGGAACTACGAATCTCGATTTGGAAAATTTGGGCGATTGTGCCTTAGGTGGTGCGAGGCGTGGCATCACTCGTTCTGCCTCTTCGTTCCTGATGTGGTGCAGCTTATCTGGACGTCTTCCTGTCGTTACTTGAGGGCTATGGCTGAAGCTGTGGTTGCCTCGATTGATCGTGTGGGCGAATATCTAACTGGTGTCTATCTCGTGATGCAACTGCTTATGTCTCTCATGTTCTACTTGCCACGCATGCTGTATGAGGGCGTGGAGGGCGTACTATGCGGATGGATGGGCGTCGCATTTGTTTCGTTACTAGTTGACGTGGTGCTGGAATTCTCGATCGCTTGTCTCTATTGGAACGCGTCGGTGCTGACGCTGGGTTGCTATAGTCACGCTACGAGGTATTATTGGGCCTCGCAAGCAGGTGGAGTCGATCGATCTGGCATTTCAACGGCTCAACAAGGGTGGACTAAGCTCGGGAATAAGAAAGAGCGCCGGGAAGGGAGAGAGAAGACCAGCCTCGACCTTTTGCGTGGCAGTCCGAGAAGTGGAACGTCGTCTGTGGAAAGAGATTCAAGCGGAGCTTCGATTGGAACGACACCTGTCGTTCCGGATTCGACGACCACCACTACCGTCGGACATGCTGAAGGGAACGAGGCTCGGCGAGTCAGTCGGGGAGAATTGTCACGGTCTACGGCTGGCAGAAGGGCTGGCTATTCTGGACGAGTGTTTCCGACAGTTAAGTGCACTGCAGAAGCTTGATGCCACGTCTGACTATCCCGACTCTACTACTCAGACGGCCTCGTTCCAAGTCTGACGTGGAACCAAGGAATCCAGACAGTGGGAGGATAGTGAAGCTGAGAGTGATGTCGGTCCGGAGGGGGACTATTAGGAGATACCTTCGTAGGTAGGAGAGCAGGTAGGGAAGCTCTCAGTCGTGATTTTCCTTCTTTCAACAGAAGTGCTCAAGAAACAGAAACAAGAAACAAGTTAATACATTTGCTTTACGTTTACGTCTAAGTTCCTACGTCGCCGGCTTACATAAGATACACGACCCCGACGAGAGAAGGAGACCGCGACATCAGGAATGTCGACAAAGAAACGGGCGAAGGAGAAGAAGGTGGCAAAGATGACGAGAACGTATTCAGTGAAGCTCCCGACGATTAAGAGAACATAATTAATTGATCTCTGCAAACTCGATGATGCCGTGGTAAAGCAAGTAGTCCAATCTAACAGCAACCGCTTGTTCGGAATGATTAAAAACATGGGAACAACATTGTTGGCATGAAAAAGGAGATGCTAAAACGCACAGGCAGCGCGTATCTCGCGTCACAGGATATTTACGCAAATTCGCTAAGTACTCGGGAGAAAAGTATTCATTTGGAATAACCTTGAGGCTCAAAAACAACCCGATTTGCGGGATCCTGGAAGAAATCGAAAGAAACATAACTACCTTTTCTCATTGGAGAAACAATTGCTACCCAATTGGTGCTCGAATCAACTTGAATGCACGTCGACGTCATTTTAGCGGCCCAGTGTGTTCTTAAAACTAGATGGTGTTCTCGACAGTATGCTATTTTCAAGCGTAGAATCCATTTCCTCGTTTGCCTATTATTGCCGTTTTTGGCCAGGTATTTGAATTGAACAGGGTGTGGATCCTGGTACGACTCTGGATAAAAATATCCAGAGAACTCTCATTCGAATTTAGTTCTGGAAATCATATACATGTATCCCGCTCTTTACGTAACGTGAATAATACTTCCTTCGATTTAGAATAAGGAATATCAGTGAAGTACAAAAATCGCGATTCGAAATGCAACCTCGAACGATTTCGCTCTACTTCGTAAAACCGAGGCTCTTATGTTCATTGGAAGACGCTAGAAACAAGTTGGTATGTCGATGCATTTCGGTATTTACGCCTTGACAGGAAGATGCCAACGCTGATCATTGATGTGGTGTTGCCGAAGACGAACAGCCTGACGTTCGTAAACCCCGAGGACTGGACGTGTTTGAAAATTGCGAGCTGTCCGTACTGGAAGGTGGCCGAGTCAATCTCCTGGACGAACCTCCCCGCTGGCAAGTTTGTCAGTTTCTACGAGACCACCACATGCCACGCTGGCGGTGAGCGTTATTATCTCTTCAAACGTGGTACTGGGGAACAAGAGTTTCGTCCTCCGCAAGCAATCCGGTCAATCATGGTTGGACACACCAACAATTACTATCGTCGACCTTCCGTTATTACAAATGCATGCCTCGATGACAAGGAGTACGCCACCGTCGACGAAGCGAATGAGACTGCTGCCAACTACTCGACCACAATCGACTGGGAGCAGCGACGGATCAACTGCCAGCTGGAGGTTTTGTCTTTGAACTGGTTTGACGTTCCTTCCCCA